ATATTTACCTGTAAAATATCTAAAGCTTGCAACTGTTCAAACAGATAAATTGCTACACAGTGAAAACATGACAGGTGTGTTAGAAAAAGATTTTGACCCAAAAGGAGTGGCGGACTGCCTGGAGAATGCGTTCGCACTACTGGCACCGTCCCTACATCCATATATGACTCAGACAGAGCGCATGAACCCAAAAGAGTTATTGGACAATCTGAAGGGGGTTGCAGAAAGTGTGACCTCTACAGAAATCATAAAGTCAAGTTATGAAAAGCTGGCTAAAATTGCAATTTTGTTGAAAGAATCATTCTATACGGTTGTTGAGAAAGCTGATTACCTTGCATTAAGGTTATACAGCGAAAAAGAGGTGGTTCAGAGAATTGAAGAACACTTCCTTCAATTTAAAGGTGAACACGAAATCCTCACAAAAAAACATTCTGAACAGATGTTTCAATTACAGCAAAATGCAAATGCAGAAATTGATTCGCTGAATAGCAAAATAAATGTGCTTAACAAAAAGCTGGAAGAACTCAGAATGGATAAACACATATTGCAACAGCTAATGATGCGTTTAGAAAGTGATTATCACACATCACAGGAACGCTTAAAAACATGTGAAGAAAATCTAAGAGCAGCAACAAACAAGATTTCTGACGTGGGGCGAGTTTGTCTGGAACTCAGAGAAGACCGTGGACAGAGTCCAGGTCACCCACAAACACCTCAGAAAGACGTTGTTGCACTTCCTGCTCTTAATCCACCCTCACATAAAGTGGTAGGAACAGACCTGAACAGGCCTCCTCCACCAAACATGCAACAGAGTGCATGGCAACTTCCTCTTTCAATGGATGTTCTGTTAAAACTCTCAAAATATGTACAACGTTTCATCCCTGAACCGTTGGGGTCGGCAGGAACGAAAGCGTACCTCAGAGATCTGGATTTCAGATTGAGAGCTTATCCAAACGCTACGGTAGAAGATAAAATCAGTCTGATACGACTCACTTCGGACAGAGATGTGTTTACCTTCATCGAGCGTCTGCCAGATGCAACGAGAAGGGATTACAAACTTCTGTGTGAAGCTCTGATCAAAGAGTACGACGCCTGCGCAGGGCCTACTGGGTATCCAGCCGCAGACAAGGTCACGCAGGGCAAGAATGAACATCCAAAAGTTTATTACAAAAGAATCTTCCAAGCTTATTTTGGTAACAGAAATGAAACCGGAATGGAGGAAGAAGAAGGTTTTAAATTTGTTTTCAGCAAAAATCTCCATCCTGACATTCAAACGTCAGTGCAAATGATGGCAAATTTCAGAGAAAAATCCATCAGTGAGATTAAACAGTGCGCTGTGAACGTGTTTGAGGCACGTTGTCATGCCAAGACGCCCATAGAAGTGTTTCCTGGTGTAAAGATTAAACCCCACTCCCTAGAATTAGAAGGAAGGCGTGCATCGCCACCCCCTCCTAAAAAGGGAGAAAAAAGGCAGTATTTTCAGACTAACAAACCGCATTATGAAGGTGCACGCTGGGATAAAAAGGCTCCTCCTGCAGAGGACGAACGTGATTATCGTAAATGGAACCGAGAGGAACCCCAAAAAGACGTACCTAGCCGCCCCCCACCTCGGACGAAACGTCCAGAGGCGAAAAAATCACAAAAATCCCAGAAAAAAGGCCCTCCACCTCTGAACTCGGAAGAGACAGAAAAATTGCGTGAAATGTTAGAAGATTTGAAACACACTGACAAGGGAAGCCGACCAAAAGCACTATGCAGTGAGGTACTCACTACAGCATCTCTGGACGCGAATGACAACACTACAGATGTCGGTGAGACACACCAAGACGCTGTTGTTGTTGCCTCAAACAACCCCTCATCGGATGAAAGGGGGGTAATCACACACACAAACGATGACCAGTCATCGCAAGCTGAACACGCAGAAACAGCTACAGCTGTGCTGACGGTTCAGACAAACCAAGATTACACAGATAAATCTGAACGCGTGAAGAAGCGTCAGAAAAAACCCAAAAGGTTTCTGTGTAACTTTATCAGAAAGGGGGCCGCCAAAAAGGCGTACCTGTCAGTAACACTCGAAGGTGTCCTCACACACGAAGCACTCTTGGACGGTGGGGCAGACATAACAATTATGTCAGCTAAACTGTTCGAGGAGCTGAGGACAGCCGCAGCCGAGAAAAACAGGATAATACCTCTATCTGATTGTGCTATAGAAATGCAGGGTCTCTC